AACCAAAATCCCATGGGATAATGGTCAATCCCATGGGATTTGCCTTATCCCATGGGATATTGAAAATCCCATGTTTTTCTAAATCAAATTACAGATTATATATAATAATAACAGTAGAAAAGCAATGAAATTATTGAATCCCATGTAATTCCGCACATTTTGGTTATATACACGACATTGTAGGTCTAAGGAGAGGCGGCGGCGGATTTGCAAATGAGTGTTTTGCAAATTAAAAGTGTCCAGTGTTTTATATTACATATTTTATAGTTGAACTTGCATGTCGGAATATATGTCATGACATTTTATTCTAATTTAACATAGACAACCTTGAAAAACTTGATCTATTATACATGTATTTTAAACCTGCAAATATTAAGATATAGGGGGTCGGCACGCATAGTCAGCAATTTTCCTGAAACTTACCCAGACCATATAATTAGGTGAATGAGTAAGAAAAATGCCTCCCAAAGTGTTGCTAGGCTACGGCTGCCATGGCAACCAAGTTAGTGACTTAGTCTATGCTATGCCTTTAAAAAGTGAAGTTTCTTTTTTTTGTACAGTTTATTTATTTATTGATTTAATGACAATTTGTCACACATGGGACTTACATGAACAATACAGTCTCTTGGTCCCAGGTTGTATATTCCTCCTTTTTTTTAAATATCAAAGACTACTAGCTAATTTAATTTTAAAGAAACCATTATCTTATTAAAATGCTTATTATATTTCGATACTATGCGAATAAAAGTCTTTAATGTGTTCATCAAAAGAAACATTTTTTTCATGTGTATAACAGGAGTGATTAATATTGTACAGTGTGCAAATGATTACTTGTCTTACTTAGAGATATAATCTTCAGACTATAACGATAAAATTTTAATATAATTTGCACTAGAATGGACATGTATATGTACTGTAGTTTTTGTCAATATATTTCTTTTATGTTTGTCGATAGCTACCAACAAACAAATTTCAAAAAAATCTGAGTATATGATTGCCGCAAATTGGTTGTTGGTCACAGAGAATTGCTATTAATGTATAAAGAAATTAGTACGATTATATATTGGTCGAAAGCATATAGATAAATTAAAGTTTTCTTATTAGCAAAACCTCACAAACCTAACCAATTTAATATATATTAGTACTAGTATTTCTAAAAGATCGCAAAGTATGGTGTTTTGAAGGAAATAAATAGAAAAGAAAGGGACATGTTATAAAAATTCATGACATTCCATTCAACTCATGTCGGGTCTTTTTATAGCTAACTATACGGTATGGGGTTTCCTCATTGTTGAAGGTCGTACGGTGACCTATAATTGCTTAGATCCACTTCATTTGGACTATATTGGATAGTTGTCTCATTGGCTATACTACCACATCTCCTTATTTTATTTTGACAAACCGAAAACAAAAAAAAAACAGCTTTAAATCATCAATGTTCTTCGTCTGAATGTCACAGCAACACGGCAGTGAAATATTACTCATCACTTATGTGAAATTACAAGACTTTAGTGTTTGTGGTTTTTTCGTATATTATTTTAAGTTATCTATTAATTGGCCGCGTTGTAGCATATTTCCATTGAATAAGAGGTCATGTTCAATCAACAGCCGGTTTTAATTAAATATTAAATTAGCTTTTTGTTTATTTCTTATCCATTGTATGGCTTAGTCATGTCCAATGAGGTAAATACAATGAGGGTGGTAAAGGGTTATTTTCGTGCAACGTTCAAAAGAGAAAAACAACGGCATCATATATGCTAAAAAACTAATCACGAAAACTAGATATCACAGACAGTAACCAAAAACAAATTCTGAGTTACAGATTCCTGACTTGGGACAGGCACACGTCCGGTCTGTGTTTTCTTTAAATGTTTTCTGCTTTGTATCGATCTAATGAGTTAAGCCCTTTTTAACTAATTTTTATAGTGTGTTTTTATGTTGTACTGTTACACCAGTGTCCGAGGTTAGGGGGAAGGTTTGGCGCTAGCAAACCAGTTTAACCCCGCCACATTCTATATGTGCCTGTCCCAAGTCAGGAGCTTGTAGTTCATTGGTTATCGTTGGTTCATGTCTGTCATATTTATTTTTCGTAAATTGTTTTGTTATAAATTAGGCCGTTAGTTTTCTCAATTGAATTGTTTCATATTTTTTTATGCCGGGGCCTTTTATAGCCGACTATACGGTACGGGTTTTCTAATTGCTTACATCCACTTCATTTGAATTTTGGTGGATAGTTGTCTCATTGGCAATCATACCACATCTCTACAACATTCTATATTCTAGTTCACAAAAAGGACACATTTGTCAGAATGTGTGAAAATCCTTTTACAGATTAAAATCATTTGTACGACTTTGCCCCCAGCAGAGCTATAGAAAAACAGTACATTAACGGGTGTTACACGGACAATTTTTAGATAATACACGGACACTTTTTTGTTGTTACACGGACACTTTTTATGAATAGAATCACTCGTGCATGATCAGTGAGTTCATGGGAGCTTTAAATTTCAATTAAATTTGAACTTTTTGTTTCACCGACATATTTCCTGTCTTTTTCATTAAAATATTTACGTTGGCATCAATAACCTGATTTGTTTTCAAACAATTCCAGTTTATTACTATTCATATCAGTACACTAAGGGATTGACCATTTAACTTCAAAAGGGGGGTTATGTTTTTTTCGTAAAAAAATATTCTGATCCCCCATCTTATGAGAAAAAATATTTTGTGGTCAAGCAGATGACAAAATAATGTTCTGATTCCTGATTTTCCGAATACCGTATATAAAAGTGCTAATTTCGAAAAAAAAAAATATTTGGGTGATAGCGTTGAAAAACTAAATAATTTTCTTACTCAGAAAAAAACATACACCCCCTTTTGAAGCTAAATGGTCTGTCCGTAAATGTATTTTTTTTTAATATATGGGCACGAATAGTATTCTGGACAATGCTGAAAGTAAAGAAATGCTGGTACCGACGTTTATATTTCAATAAAAAAGACAGGAAATATATATATAAAAAATCAAATCTAATCAAAAGATAAAATCCCTATCAACTCACCAATGCACGATTGATCCTATAAATAAAAAGTGTCCATGTTATACATGTTCAGATGGGCAGCAAATCTTGAAGAAAATCACTCAACTTATGTCACCAATTTTGGACGGTAAGCTGCAATTGGATCATATTGTGACACGTGTTTAATCCTGATCAACACTATTATAGACATATAAAAACCTATTACCATGAATTTAAAAAAAAAATCCAAAATATATGCCTATATATATCTACTAACAAGACAAAATACATTTTTTCATAACATTTCATTCATTAATGAAATAGGAAATTCATTCTTTTTATACATATATATTGTAACAGTTATTGAATTCATATATATTGAATTCATATATTTGGGAGCAAACGTACGATTTTTATTATTTTTTTAGGGGGAATGGGGGAATGGAATGGCACAACTTGCATTTTTTCAACAAAAAAGGATCAAGCCTGTTTATTCTAAATTTGTTTTACCCCCCCCCCCCCCTTTTCCGTTTTCCCCCAAATAAAAATCAAATGTTAGCTTGCTTACATCTGAAATCTTTTTCATACATTAATTACTTCCGAAGTGCATTTTAAAATTAAAGTCTCAAATGTGTACGACATTCATCTTTTTACTTGACATGGTTCTTTTTTAATAAAATGATTAGATTCTTGAATTTCTTGAGAAAAAAACTCTCGGCTGAAGGGAAGTGAAAAACAAAGTTTGTTTAAACTGTAATTTACATTGACTGGTATATGGCCATTTAAGTTTCTAATCTGTTTAATTTTGCCACCTCTTCTAATTGCAAAATGTACTATTTCTTTCTTGAAACGTCGTACAAGTCAGATACAAAACAAAGGTAACAAAAAAACCGGCCGGAAACAAACTGCCGTATAGTTCTTCTGCACTTGTAGTCAGGTCAAGGTCCTCGGCTATCGCCTCGGACCATCACCTGACTACTCGTGCAGAAAAACTATCCGGCAACGGTTGTTACCGGCCTGTTTCTTTGTTACCTTTGTATTGTATCTAATACGTAAACTTACGTCATCGCGGTATTTCGTATTGCTGGATAGCTGTTTTATTGACGTTAATACACTTTACATATTCTTTTTTCATATTTCATGCAAAAATCGTTCTCGGAATTATGAAGGATTTGGTGTAAGCCAAAAGATTATAAGATAGTTATCGTATTATCAGGGTTTTCTCGTGTGCGGAAGTTCATGGTTTGCGTTCTGTTAAACTATAATTATACCAATGAACTAAGCACTAGGTGGGGAGTGATACATTACATATTGATAACGACGAATTTATAGGAACTTATTTCGGTAGCATTGCTAGGGAAGACGGATGCACCAGGACTTTCAATCATAAAACTTTACTCAGTGCTCGGAGTACAAAATTGTGCTCGAAATATCAAATACAGTATGTTGATTGTCATTGTTGATTTATGAGTGAAAGTTTTATGACGTAAATCCAAACTGGTTTCTGAGTCTGAATGCGTTTTTGTTACTTTGATTTTGTTTTGCTACATGATCTACATGTTTCAATCGGATATAGATGGTCTTATTATATGTATACACTCATTATCAACCAAAAGGTGCAAAATCAATTATTTTTCTAAATTAGTTTTGCACACATACATTTAATTTTCTCTAAATGGAAACCTGGGGTCAAATGTTGTTTTAAACTGTCAATGAAAAGAAGAGAACCACATAATAAGTCATCTGGTCACTACTGGTGTTTATTCTCCCTATCTTTCTCTGCCGCAACTGTTCGATTGCCTTGAAAAAGGTAACCATATATTACAACAAAATAAATGCCATTTCAAAACAAAACAAAATATAATTTTCTCGTACATCAATATTAGGAGTGCTCACGTAGACAGAATAAACCTTTTTAGCTCATCCGCTCGGTCCCCTCCAAACACACACTAACGTTTCACCGGTAGGAAGAGACACGATGTATATGTTCCTTTTGTTTAATAATAAGTATAAAACAAAACATGCAAAAGTCTCAGTATAATACAAAATAAGTTTACTTCCAACAATGAATTATTTTTGTTTTGTTTTATCTTTTCAAAAGACATAACACATAGCCATTAAAGTTGACACTTTAATAAGATCAAGAGAATTGAAAACATTATTATCAATACTTTTGTTTTCAGAATTCAATGAAATTTTGATTAGATGTTTAAAAGCGAACACCTAAACATTGTGACTGGTTAGAAATTATATAAACAAATATGGTATATTTGATCAATGGCGTTACGTTATTTTTATTTTGGTGTACAATATAATAAATTTTCCACTGAAGATACTGAAACGGACAATTGATGTTCAATGTCTATTTTCGAGTGCTACTGACATATACTGAGAGTCTTCATAAATCGAGTTTAAGCCCTTTTTTCACAAATAACTTGCTACACTTTTGACTGGTCAAGTTTATACCAAACTGGAAACCTGTCATGAATGAGCATACAAATTCTCTCTAAACTAAGATAGCCTTAATGGATAGTTTTGTAATAAAAAATTAAAAACAAACTTTTTAGAAAGAACAGGCTAAGAAATATATTTATCGTCATTGTCATATTGGCTTACGGGTAGCTAAATTTTACATCCCTTATCCTCTTAGGGGCTCTGTTTGACAAATAAGAACAAGACTTAGTTAAAAAAAATATAGCTCATTACAGTTTTAAAATCATAGACGGTTTATGAAAACTATCAGTTTGCAGAAGAACAAAAATTTAAAAGTATAATTTAATACTAAATACATCACTTTAGTAAACCCTTATCATACTATGTTATACAAAATGGCAGTCCCTCCCCAGGAATTCGCAACTAACAAACATTTTCTTGCTAGGTCATAGTAAATGGCCTCCGGATAATTTAAACCATCACTCTGTCGAAGAATAACCTTTCTTCTTTTTCCATCACGACTGATGGAGACGACATTGTGAGATTCGTAGCCGACGACAAAAATATCTCCATTAGTCAAAACAGAAATAGTACAAGGAGATGCTAAAATATCGTCATTAAATTGCCAATTCGGCCGACCTTCTAAGTCACAACAATTTACAACGCCCCAAAAGTTGCCTGTATAGTAAATTCTATCTTTATCGACGGTGCAGTAGCAGCCTTTTTCGATTAGAACTTCTACTTCAATAGTTCTTATCCTCATACCGAACAGATTCAGAACTTCTATTCCTTTCTGAAAAACAACTACATATAATTTTCCATCACAGTAAGATACACCCCAGCAGCTTTTTCCAAATTTTATGTCATGGCAAAGCGTGTGCTCTGTCGTGTCAAAAATCTGTAGGGTTCGGTACTTTCCGAATGTAATAGCATACATTTCCGGTTTGATGACGGTTATATCGAATGGAGTATATTGTAGCTTAACCTCTTTGTCAAAGGAACCAGTTTGGTGGTGCAATATTAACCTGTTATTACCCTGGTCTACGAAGATTAACTTTCCATTCGGTAATATCGCACAACTTTTTATCCACAGATCCTCTATGCCTCTCTGTATTTGTAGATTCTTCTTCATCATCCATTGGGATTCCATTTTAATTTTTAATTGAACTTATTTGCCCAGATAGAGCATAAAAAGACAGCTATCTGTTTTAAGCTACTGCACAGCGTGTCATTATTGACTCAAGTTCTTTTAACCATGTCATGTGACTTGTCGTGGATATCTTTAAAATATATAATATGCTTATTGTTACTAGTATATTAAATAGGGGATTGATGTATTGTCAATATTTTAACGATGCATTTCAAACATTAACAAATGGAAAACATGTTATAAGAAAAGTGCACATGCTGAAATGTCTGCCTGTTTTACTAATCCTGATCGAATTTATGTTGAAAGTCTTTCAGATAAAAGTTTTACTACAATTTTCACAAAAATTTAACATTATTACTGATTTACATATGTAAATGCCCTCGAGGTCAGGTGTACTCTGCAAACATTTAAACTTTACAATTATTTCAAACACCAAATATAATGAACTTTAGCTTATAATACCTTATATACGGAAGTTTCTTGTGCACATTTTCGAAACTATTTATCCTATATTGGATATCCCCTGTAACAATTGTACACGACAGCCGTTTTGTCTAAAGAAGATATACACAACTTTTACGTCAATGGTTCATACTTAAAACATGATTTATTTATTAGCTGTTATTGGCTTTGAACTAGCTGTCAGTAACTACAAGAAGTACTCTCAGATCTGTACTTAGTGTCTTTTTTGTTGTGGGGATGTATAAATACACTGCCACGTCCGGTCTGTGTTTTCATTCGTTGTTTTTCTGCTATGTATCGATCTAATGAGTTAATCACTGTTCAACTGATTTTTATAGTTGTTCATGTGTTGTATAATGTTACACCACTGTCCCAAGTTAGGGGAGGGTTTGGCGCCAGCCAACCAGTTCAACCCCGCCACATTCTATATGTGCCTATCCCAAGTCAGGAGCCTAGCTGTACATGTAGTTCTGTTGGAAATCGAACCACATCACCTTATTTTTATAATGATAGAAATTTCAATGAGGCTGCAACGCAACGACAACACAATTCGACCAAATCAATTGATATATTTGCAGCAATTAAAAAAAATTCTCAAAACAATCCATATGAATCTGTTTTTACAGGGATAATCATTGTCACTAATTTGTTAGATTTTTTTGCAACAACACTCACATGACTTACTAAAGAATGTTCTTATAGTTGTCCTTGTTTTCCGTTCACTGTTGTAGTATAAATCAGGCCAGGTTTGTTTCCTATTTCTAACTGTTTCACTTGTTGTCATACGGGAATTTTTATAATTTACCACTACGGTATGGGTTTTGTTGTAAAAAGATCTAACTAATTATTGACAATACGGTATGGGTTTTGCTCATTGTTGTTGGCCGTTTACTGTCACCTCTAATTATTAACATCTATATCCTTTGATATATGGATAGTTTTCTTATTGACAATCATGTCACATCTTCTTATTTTTATATTATCCCTGCAACATATTCCTCCGCTTTACCTGTCGGTTGATTTTATTATAATACTTTAATTTTTAGGTCCAATTTGGTCATATAATTCTTCAACTGTTTCGGTACTGATACATCCTTGGTTTTCAAATATTCGGCATTGAGCGTTCCTGATAAAGGTAAATCCAGAAAAGGCTAAGCACTTCGGACGCATGGAATTTTTAAAATGTTGTTTTCATTTTTTAATGTCTTGATCTATGGTTCAATTTGTTTTAAATGTAAATTCTTTGATATTTTCTGTTTAATGTATGAACAACTCTTATAAATTCGGGACGATTAGAGCTTCGCATATTTCATGGACATCGGAACTTGTTTGACACTATATATTGACCTGTTAGACTATATTTCTTTTTTATTATCTGCGTCGTTTGGTTGCTGTGTCAAACATCATAAGTCGGAGAAAAACCGACAATACCATGACAAGAAACGGGAAAAAACGACGGAAAGACAAACAACAGAGTCACAAAACACTAAATAAAAAACAAAAGACTGCAAAGCAGTACTAACCCCAACAAAAAAGGGGACAATACATTATAGAGTAAAGTATTTTTTCTGAACTAAAGTAAATTTATTCTTATAGTACTTTCTTTGTTGAAACTTCTGATATTCTAAGAATAAATGATAAAAAGAGGGAGTGTATAGCACTCAAAAACTATTTTTCATATTGCATGATATCTTGATATCAAATCTTGTGTATAGTCCTTGTGATTTTTTTCACTTCTTATTTAGAATGAGGTGACGTAGAGCTTACATATAATTTTAACATAGGTATGTCTATTGTTGATCTCTAGTTGTCTTTTGTCGTATCATTGTTGTTGTTGGGTCGTTGTCTTGTCGTCGTATTTTTAAAGCTCTTCTTAGGATCATTACATTATGATTATTGTAGTGCAAAAGCATGAAGAATAAAAAAAATCATTTTCTTAAATCCTCACATTCCAATGAAACACCACGCAATGAAACAAACAAGTTTTGAAAGAAAAAACTTTTTAAAAATTATTACAAAGTGTTACTTTATTGCGAAGTTATACCTTGGTTGGTGTATGCTGCTTTGTAATTCAAATAATTATATGTAAATTTTCATAAATAAAAGAAATTTTACCTGTTCTTACGATTGTTCGTCTTTGAAAGAATTTAAGGTAAACATTTAAAAAAAACAAAATATAATATGACACTTTTGTGATTTAAAATTACACAAAGGGTATATAGATCCAAAACAAAGAATTGTTTGCACGCAAGGGTTCTCATAACTATTCAATATCAAATATCAATGTCAGCAAGTGTATTAAATTGTATTGTGCAACACCTTTCTTGTGTAAACTGATCTGCATAAATTAATTTCAGTAAGCATATTTATTGCGCACAATTTTTTCGATCTGGTATTCAAACTGTCCTATATTCTGATGCAGCGGTCTACAATGCATAGTGACGTGCAATGTAAGCATGTATATATATATACATAGTTTGTCTTGACGTACATTGTAAGTTTTAAAACCGAGAAAAGAAAGTTATACGTGCATATAAGAAACTTAAGAAAAATAAGCTTTGTACTAACTGACCATATACACCGTGATTAAAGATACCGTTGAAATTTGTCGACTTATAAAATATTAACATATTAACAAGGCGTAATTTGGAAATGTGATTTGCGGTATTTCAATATGGTGTTTACTTAATCTGTAAACGATATAATTGTGACTAAATAACAAAGTCGACATAAATAAATTATGACGAAAACGGAAACTTGAAGTAAAAAGTTTTTAAACGATCGGTTGCTGACCAAAAAGTAAATAGTAGCAACATTTTTGCCTTTAAATGGTTTCAGTTTCTGGTAAGTTTTATAACTTTTTTTTTATTTCGACTAGTTTGAAAGATTTAATGGACAATTTATTAAAATAGTTGATGACAACAAACATTTGGTTGTTACGTTTTCTAACAACAGTAAGTGGTCAGTCCACATAGATAATATTTACTGTAGTGCCACTAAACAGAAACAATCTTAATAAGATATATCTCGCATACATACTTCCACTTTCAGAATATGCATGCGAGATATGGGATGGGTGCGGTGTAAGAGATATTCCGAAAAAAATTGAGCGCTTGCAGCTTGAGGCAGCCAGAATGATTACTGGACTTCGGCAATTTGTATGCAAAGAATCCTTATTTTTTTAAACTGGGTGCAGTTCTAGAAGAAATAGACGTAAGTTATGTTTATTTCATAAAATACATAATAATAATGTTCCAGAATATCTTATGGATTGTATCTCAGATTATGCAGACAGTAATTATTATAATACTAGAAACCGTTCTCACTATAGAATACCGAAATGTCGATTGGACATATTTTCTAAATCATTTTTTCCTTCTTCAATTCGTGCATGGAATTTATTGCCGTTAGATATTATATCAATTCAATCATCTCAAAATTTCTAAAATACAATCCGGAGAAATGACATTTCATTTAAAACCGCTGCATTTGTTTGCACCTGTCCTAAGTCAGGAACCTGATGTTCAGTGGTTGTCGTGAATTGATGCGGTTCATAAGTGTTTCTCGTTTCTCGTTTTTATAAGGATTAGACCGTTGGTTTTCCTGTTTTAATGGTTTTACACTAGTCATTTTTTAGTTCATTATTCACTTTTCAACGTTTAGTAATTAATAATGAATAATGAAATAGTTTATATTTCAGTATTCAAGTTGAAAAGTGAATAATGAAATAGATAATTTATTTTTTTACTGTGACACTATTTTTCTGAATTCGTCATTTTGATGTCAATTAATATATATTTAAATTAATATCAGAAAAAAAAAACACTCTTTTAAATTTTTATCTTTATTTATTTATTTAGTTAGTTTCGGAGGATAAACTGGTGGGTTTCCCTAACTATTTTTAACAGAAATTCCTTTTTTTTAATGTATGGACGACCTAATTACCAAAACGTATATAAAAATTAAAATACTATACATTGGATTTTTTTATTTTTAAAGGACCTTTGCGATCTTTCATCCCCTGATTATAGATATAACTTGTCGATTGTATCGCAATGCCCATTAGAGGGGTTACGGAGGACGTAAATGCCAAAATACGCATGAGCATTTAGAAAATTTAATAACAAATTTTTAATAATGGAATGGACTGCTGCGACCCTCCAGCCCCTAATTACAGAGATGCCTTATACGTCATTCGAAAGCTTATTGATAGAGGAACAAAATGTATATAATCAACGTGTGCCGCAATGCCCATTAGAGGGGTTACGGAGGACCTAAATGTCAAAATACGCGTGAACATTAAGAAATAGCCTATTTTGAATATTAGGAATTGACTGTTGCGACCCTTCATCCCCTAATTACAGAGATACCTTATACGTCATTTGAAAGCTTACCGATAGAAGAACAAAATGTATATAATAAATATGTACCGCAATGCACATTAGAGGGGTTACGGAGGACCTAAATGCCAAAATACACATGAACGTTAAGAAATAGCCTAGTTTGAATAATGGAATGGATATTTTGAAAAATGGAATGGACTGCTGCGACCCTTCAGCCCCTTATTACAGAGATGCCTTATAAACCATTCGAAGCTTATCGATGAAGAAACAAAATGCATATAATTAATATGTGCCGCAATGCCCATTAGAGGGTTTACGGAGGACCTAAATGCCAACATACGCGTGAAACATTAAGAAATAGCCTATTTTGAATAATGGAATGGACTGCTGCGACCCTTCAGCCCTAATTACAGAGATACCTTATACGTATACGAAAGCTTATCGATAGAGGAACAAAATGTATATACATGTAATAAATATGTGCCGCAACGCCCATTAGAGGAGTTACGGAGAACCTAAATGACAAAATACGTGTGAACATTAAGAAATAGTCTATTTTGAATAATGGAATGGATTTCTTGAATAATGGAATGGACTGCTGCGACCCTTCATCCCCTAGTTACAGAGATGCCTCATACTCATTCGAAAGCTTATCGATAGAGAAACAAAATGTATATAATCAATGTGTTCCCCAATGCCCATTAGAGGAGTTACGGAGGACCTAAATGCCAAAATACGCGTGAACATTAAGAAATAGCCTCTTTTGAAGGATAGTGAGGACCAGAATCTTACAAATATGCTTGAAGAAAAATACCAGTAAAACGCTGGCATTGCCAACTGATGCTCTTCGAACTACATTTTTTTTAAAGATATTATTATTTTTATTTCAAGGATTAAATATGCTTGCAATTATAGTGAAAAAAAAGCATGAACTTTCATTGTTAATTTTTTACTTGTATGCATGTGTTACAATTAATAGTAGGCTACTGTACCGAAAACCAAATTAAAAAAAAAATATTTGAACTAACAGTAATCTTAACCTTTGACTTTGAATTTAAAAATGTATTCCCTATGTCAACCATCTGTATAAGTTTCATTCGATCAAGCAATATATAGATCTGTGCTACTATCTGGATACCATTTTTAGCTCACCTGGCCTAAAATGCCAAGTGAGCTTTTCTCATCACTTGGCCGTCGTCGTTAACTTTAACAAAAATCTTCTCCTCTGAAACTACTGGGCCAAATTTAACCAAACTTGGCCACAATCATCATTAAGGTATCTAGTTTAAAAATGTGTCTGATGACCCCACTTGCCAACCAACATGCCCGACATGGCTAAAAATAGAACATAGGGATAAAATGCAGGTTTTGCCTATTATCTTGAAAAATGCTATAAATAGAGAAAATCTGAAAGAGGCTGAAATGTTCAAAATGATGAGATCTACCTATTGTTATTTCAAAACTTTCAGACGACTTCTTTTAGGAGTTGTTGCCCTTAAATGACAAATTTTACCGATTGTTTTTAATTTTTGGCTTATAAGAAAAAACTATAATAGATCAAAAGAAACTTATATTCCAAAAATGATCAGCAAGACAAGATCTACAAATAAGTGCACATAGTCGAAATCGTCAGACGACTCCTTATTCGAGTTATTGTCCTCTAATGACGATTTTTATCATTTTTTTGGTGTTTTTGTTTATATCTTAAAAACTATAATAGATAGATAGAAACTTGAATAAGCAAAACTAATCAGCATGACAAGATCTACAAATAAGTTAGAACTATTGTAATTGTCTGACGACCCCTTATTGGAGTTATTGGCGTTTGATAATGATTTTTACCATTTCTTTGCGTTTTTGCCTAATATATGAAAAACTATGATAGATATATAGTCTAAGAACTTAAATAAGCAAAAATGATCAACAAGACTTGAATTATTTATAAGTCAAATAACCGAAATAATTTACCAATATTTTACGTTTTTGCCTACTATCTTGAAAACTATAAAATATAGATAGATACTTTAAAAAGCAAAAATGATCAGCAAGACAAGATATACAAATAAGTCAAATTTTGACGAAATCGTTGGTTTACTCTATATAGGAGTGATTGTCTTAAATGATATTTCTTTATCGTTTTTTTGTGGTTTGGGCTAAAACTAAGGAAAATAGAGAGAAACTGTAAACAGAAAAATATATCAGCAATACATGATCAACAAAAAAAAGGTTTTATGTTATGAATTCTATTCTAGTCTACAATGTTGGAGGGGTCCATTGTTGAAGATGTTCATACACCTAGGTGAGCGACACAGGCTCTTCAGAGCCTCTATAGTTAAATGATATTCTTCTTTGAGTAACATAAGACGGTGACCATACCTTTATTCTATTGACCCAGAAATGAACAGGCTTACACAGTTGTTTTAAAAGAGGCGATGCTAGATTATTCAACAAAAAGGCACGTGGACATCCACAAATATTACCGTGCAATGCCAGAAAATGACAAAACTGCAGCTTCAGATTATCTTTAGATAATACTGTTCGGTCATCAGTGAACGGAAGAATTGTTTCTCTCTCCTTTTCACATGACATTACTTGAAAACCCCAAAGCCTCATACATCTTGTAACATGATCAAAACCGAAATGTGGTATTCAACATGTAGGACAAAACGTGAATTTTTCAAACGAACACAAAAACATCTATACCCCTTCCGCACACAGAAGAAATTTAATTGTTTAATTTACCAACATTTTGAAAAACACAAACACAGAATTAAATTATCAAAATTCCAACCACTTCAAACTGTTCAGAAACAACCAAGCCAAGCACATTAACAATTTAAAGATTCCCGTAAAAGTTGCGAACTGTCTTAGATTAAACGACTACAGACAGCGCCCTAGGTCTAAATGACAATATCATTAACCAAGGGAACATATCGAAAACTTCCTCTATAGATAGCATTACTATTATTGATAAAAGACAACGCAATCAAAGGTCTCATAGCAATTGCATTAACCACAATCAACGAAATAAACATCGTTCTAATTCTAAAATAAATGATCCCGTATCTATATTTAAAAACAATAGTAGATATCAATTATTATGCAAACTGGGTCAAATGCCAATTAGTTTATTACATAATATTTATAACGAGTGTGAGAAAATATCGTTTTTCAGTCCAGAATATGTGTGTACACGTATCATTACAGTATTTTGTCACCATTGACTCTTCCCTCGAATTGACAAATCTGAAGATCATAAAAGGTATTTTCTAAAAATAAAATACATTAACATTAATTTTTCTAGTATTTTTAATGACTCTACCGTTCAAAACATTATACCTCCATATTTTGATAACATAGAACCACCTATAAATTCTTATACATATACAAAAACCAGTACAAGTTTAATTTTTAATTATACGTCAGTTAATTTACATATGACGTCATTATAGAAAATAATGCTCCTTCAACATGAGACTGTGAAACATCGAAATTTAGATATGATCCACTATGGTCATATAATTAAAGGTGACTTTAACATCGTACTAGATTGAGAAGTTATAAACATTCTGAAAAAAAAAGATAAAAATATTGTCCACCGTCAAAAATAAATTGGAAAGTGTGTCGTCATGTCATTAAAGATTCTCTTAAAGAAATTTGACAAAAAGTCACTTGATTCCTATTTCAATATTAAAATGTCTGAATATTGTTGATATCCGCATATCACATTTCGAAAATAATTTAGAAGTAAACAAAAGTAAGTAATACTTCCATTTCTAAGACAAAAGACAAAATTTGAGTACTTGCAAAGCATTTTGTGTTCGTACCGGCCGACAAAGCAGCAAACAAGGTGGTGGTGATATGACGTAAATACTACACGGAAGTCCTTAAGAATGAAATTGTTCATTCAACTACACTCAATGACGTGCGCTCCATACAGAGTCAAATAGTAAATAATCATGTCACTACCACCGTACAGCTTATGGACTCCTTTGACAGTCCCTACTATGTATTAGCATCCTAAACTACATAAAAAACGTTTATATTTCGTTTCCTCTCAGGTTCTGGTAAAAGTTCTACTACTAATCTTTCTCGGCTGTTAACAGGTCCCCTTACTTCTATTAAAAAAACTTGTTATTAATTTTTGTAACAAGGCATATGAAAATAATGGAATTAATGTTGGATTGTCATTAACTATTTGGATGTTTTGGATAAATTACGTGCTCTTGATGGTCCGTTCAATTCGGTTGACAGTTATGATTTTTCGACTCTATAAACTACATTGCCATATAATCGTATCAAATAGGTGCTCTCTAATCTAATTAAATGGTCGCAGATTTAATTGTTTCAACTCATATGAAGGTTCTTCTGTAATGAAAACTGGAAATATGCTACTTTTCCGTATGTTATCTTTTACCGGCCCAGATTTGGTGGTGTTGCATCTTACAAAGTCTACCCGAAGTATTTTAAAAAGAATTCCACTCGAACCGGTGCTAAGGACCGTCTTAAACTTACAGTAAGGTGACATTTTATTTTTTACTCCGTGTTGAAGGCCTCACTTTGATTTTGATATGAAGAGCAGCAATAAAAGCGCTCTTCCTTTGCTTTTTGTGTTTTGGTTTTTTGTTTTGCTGTGCATATACTGATTTTGTGTCATGGATGGATACCTCATATCCTTTGCTTTTCTATAAGATATGCTTATTGGAAATGTGATGAGATGATTAAAGCTTTAAATTTTCTTCTTGACAACATATATGTACGGTTCGGCAATAAAGGTTATCGACAGATTGTAGGTATTCCGATGGGTACAAATTGCGCCCCTTTAATAGCAGACTTGTTATTGTACTGTTATGAATCACAGTTTATGACCAAACTCAGTAAAGATCTGTCTAAATTACATTTAATTGATAAATTTAAAACACTTACAGTAATACTGATGATACATTTGCTTTAAATAATCCAGAATTTTCGAATTTTATTGCGGGAATTCACCCAAAGGAAATTAGTTTAAATAAATCTAATACATACAGCAATACTTTTCTTTTTCTAGATTCGAATATTTCAGTTTCACACGGGAAGCTCTATACAAAAATTTACGACAAAAGAGACGATTTTTCGTTCCCGAATGTTAATTTTCGCCTGTATGATGTTCCTTTCGCCCCTTCTTACGGTGTGTATATTTCACAATATGTTCTCTTTGTCCGTGTCTGTAGTCATGTTTTAAATTTCAATGAACGTAATTCATGTATAACTGATAAATTATTAAGACAGGGACTTCGTTATCAAAAATTAATTAAAACCTTTCCCAAATTCTTTCATAGATACACATAAGCTGTACCTGTAGAGTTCTTATCAAAAGTGGAATATCACATCCTAATTTTTACGGCGATGTTGTTTATAAAGCCCGTAAATTTAGATACGATCCATGTAAACTAATTGATCCTATGAATAAACTTATTTTTAAAGGTTTTCAATTCACCACAGTAGTAAAATCTTTAAAGATTGTTTTTATTGGTATTAACATTGATTTTGTTTTTGAAAAATTGCTATACATGATCCTACATCCTGTCGATACTGTAAACTTATATTTGGGCATTGCAAAAGGTCGTGCATTTTTCAGACTGTTTATGACTTCTTCATACTAAACATATTTTAGTCTGGGATAACAGTATTTATCTATTACTGGTAATTGGCTTTGAGTTACGAGTTTTGCGAGTACTCTTATTTCGGTGCTTTATGTCTATTGTTTTTATGTTACTGACCTGCGCCTGATTCACTATTCACTATGAATACTCCTGTTAATAAAGCAATTATTGATGATAACGCCTTCAACAATTAGTAGCACAAAATCAATTAAGACGCCTAATATACCAACAGATTCTTTATTTTGTACAAACATTTAGTTTAATATTTAAAATTGCAGTCATTATTTTTCCATAAGAGAGAGCTAGGTTTCTGGTCAAGATTTTGGCATTTCAATTAAATTCATTTTAACTAAACTCATGCAAGTTTATTTGTTATAAAATGGACTTCAGAAATTATTCAAAGATTATTTACGGGTTTCCGTGATTTTTGGAGAGTTTTGAGTTCAAAGTTGGAAATTTGACTTCTGCATAGATGTATACAAGGGAGGCTGTCGGTCAAGATTTCCGGCGTCTTTTCTACTCAATGCATTAATAATCATTTTTTTCCATATTATTTGTTTATAAACTGTCTTTAGATATCCTATTAAAGATTTTGACCAGGTTTTTTTTTTTTCGTGAATTTTAGTTCAAAGTGGAAATTGTGACTTCTTCATTATGTATACAAGAGATTGATTGATTGATTGTTGGTTGCTTAACGTCCAGTGGCAATGTATACAAGAGAGGCTGCCGGTCAAGATTTTGCCTTTTTCTTCTAATGTATTGCTAAATATTTTAATACCATATTATTTGTTTTCTAATTGTCTTTAGAAATCATTTTTAAGATTTTGACCGGGTGATATATTTGTTCGTGAATGTAAGTTTAAAGATTCGAAATAGGATTGCCAGAGTCACGCTTAACAAGGCTTCCGGTCAACTTTTTGGTACTAATGAATATCAAAATCTTAATTTTTTTTTTAATTTTAACTTATAGAATATCATATAAGCTTTCAAAATCCGTTTCAATTGTTGATTTATCTTAAGCAGTTCCAGGGAAATTACTTAAAATATATCAATTTTGCACTTCCGCATTTTAGACCTTCCCGTCAAATTCGGAACACTCTAGAACTTTCAATGTTTCTAGTCATTTCGGCTTTTAACTGGACTTTTATATACGAAGAAAAAAAAATACATTGCATAAGAAACATATTAGGTAAGAGCATTATGCATCTGCTTTTGTGAAACATACATGTCATTTGATTGCAGTGTCCGCTGTATATTTCAGTATCTAGTAAGTTGAACAGTTGAAGTTGACCAGTAACAGCTGAACAGGTAGGAGAGAAGGATATAATTTTTGATAATTTGTTAGACACGTTTTAAAGTATACAATGTTAACCCTTGTGTCCACAAGGCTGATAATATTGCTCATTACCTGATTTCTTCATTGCGTTCTTTTAATGTGTGACAGTCTTCCAAATAGACAGAAAAGATAGATGAATAATTTGATGTCTGTTTACCCTCCAGTGGCAAATTGAATACATATTCAGGACGAGAACATGTTATTGTGATATGAATATTAACCCTGCTTTGTACTCAATGGACATGCTGAGCCAGATTTTTAACATGCTAGTTCACTGTGTGACACAAGGTAACAGTCCACAAGAAGACATGTCGAAGTCACCCTACCGAGACACCAGTCAAGGGTCTAACTTAAATAAGTTATTAGAGAAAAATAACATACATGTGTTATTGTGGATGCTTTCATGAGTTGTCCAGATATCTCCATGACCTGTTTTATGATGGCGCACAGCCATCGTTAAATTATCATTTGCCATCTTCAAATGATCTCTGCCATCTTTAAATTATCACCACCATCATGACCATTGTCAAATGGTCTCCGCCATTGTCAAAATATTTGTTTTCATTTCGCTAGCCGCCATATTTCTTAGCAATTATAATCAATTACATGTAATTGCATAACTCTTATTGTATTATAATCTCAGGGATATCTGTCTAAAGATTACTAATCACTTGCACAGGCAGATCAACACACCTGACAGGAGAACACTTTCTCAAGATAAGACGATTAATTGCATTACTTAATTACGTTTCAGCAAATAGCAGGGCTGCTAAGTCTCACACAATTTGCTTATTTGGTGGCATTTTCCTTTGATCTATTGTTTTTTCTCTTCAATCTTTACAATTTTGGCCAAATGGCACGCATTTGCTTCATGAAAACTTGGCAGTACTGAAATGTAACTTAAAATTAAGATTAGAAAATAAAGGAGTAGGGGCAATAAGGCCCTCATTTGGCCCAAATATTACTGCAAATTTAAAAGTTATCCTACATATTCTTAGATTTGTCCTAACTAGACTAAGGTACGAGGTATTCAGAAAATAGAAACAAATTTGACATTTATCGAGTAACCATGGTAACAAACCATGACAAAATTCTTATATTTCGTAAAATTTCTTGATTTTTCTTGTTTTTCATCAAATTTTAAGTATATTTTAGATTGGCAAAGTATGTGCGCATCCAAGAAACAACTTTATATTTGGTGAGATTATGTCAATAGTTATAATAAAGCTTCTCTTAAATTATTCTGTTGTTTCTCAGCTGCGCACGATGTCTCCACAATGGAAATAACAATGGAAAACTGTACTTTTTATCAATTTCATGAAAACGGTACATATTATGACGTAATTGTGACATCATCAGATAAAAAATCTTATGTTTTTCATATATATTTCTTGACTCCATGCATTTCCTAACATTATGTGCCAATTTGGTATAGTTGTCAAACATTTTATTTTCTTGGGCTAAAACCGGGCCTTAATGCCCCTACTCCTTTTAGATACATGTACAGTTACGAAGAAAAAGTTTAACAAATTGAACACATGCTTTTATATTGACTTACAAGGTCAGCATCCCCCTTTTTAAATGAGTACAAAATAAGACGTAAAACAGAACATAATATAATGCCAAATAACATTAGTACAACAATTATCTATATTATTGAATCACTTTACAATTTTAACATGTTTAAAGGTAAATACATGAATATTAACTGCAACTTGATAATCTGAAGAAATTTTGTATCGTAATTCCAAATTCATTTCGTAGCTTACAATCAAATTAATACATCTGGTTTACATTCAGAATTGAAAGATGCGTGTTTGCACCTGTCCTAAGTCAGGAATCTGATTACAGTACATGCAGTAGTTGTCGTCTGTTTATGTAGTTCATACGTGTTTCTCGTTTCTCGTTTCTCGTTTTTATATAGATTAGACCGTTGGTTTTTCCGTTTGAATGGTTTTACACTAGTAATTTTTTGGGGCCCTTTATAGCTTGCTGTTCGGTGTGAGCCAATGCTCCGTGTTGAAGGCCGTACCTTGACCTATAATGGTTTACTTTTATAAATTGTAACTTGGATGGAGAGTTGTCTCATTGGCACTCATACCACATCTTCCTATATATATGTAAGTCCTAAACAATTACCTAAATAGCAAGAAAACGACATGGGAACCTTAAGGACAGCCTGTGGCCATTCTTGACTAAACGGGAGCAATGCCGGCTTGACATTGAAATTGTTGCAAATGACAATTAATGAAAATATTGATTATTCTATATTATAATGAAATAAATAATATAATAAGCAATATATCAGTCTGTTCACCATTACATATATCATGTACATGTACATAGAAAAGGAGGATTGAAATACTTTGATCATGACTCACATGAGACGCTGGGTTTTGTCATGGTGAAAGTTCCTCCTTCTTTAAATTTTCATCCATGGAGATCCCTGGTTGTCTACTCTCTATTCCTAAAATGTTTTTAATCTATAGTAATTATATGTCATGTATGTTTGTTATTTGTCAAAACAAATCTATAATATTTTACTTTTTATTGGGAACTTGGGAATTCTTGAAACTTTTGTGCAGAAACTTAATAACTAATTTTCCAATTAAATTAAATTATTTTTTATCAACCATGGTCAATCAATGGGACAAGGCTTTTAAGTGATAAACTTATCTGTAATGACAAGGCTTAGTTTTTATACGACCACAAAAAAATTTTTGCGGTCGTATATTGGTATGACGTCGTTGTCGTCCGAAGACACATTGGTTTTCGCCCTCTATCTTTAGTTTAAGTGAATGGATCTCTATGAAATTTTACCATAAGGTTAAATACCACAAAAGGAAGGTTGGAATTGATTTTGATGGTTATGGTACCAACAGTTAAGGAATTAGGGGCCAAAAATACGCATTTCCTAGTTTCTAGACAATAACTTTTGGAACGGTTTATGGATATCTCTGAAATTATAGCACAAGTTTCCATACCACAAAGGGATGGTTAGGATTTGCTTTGGGGGGTTATGGCTCAAACTGTTTAGGAATTAGGGGCAAAAAAGGGGGAAAACAAGGTTGTCCTGGTTAATGGACAAATACTTTAGTACAAAACATAATTCAAAGCAGTGTAAAGGAGACAAATCAAATACATCATTTGAATTACCTCCCTTACACTGCTTTTAAATTATGAATAAAGTAATGGTTAATGAACAATTAAGACAATTTAAAACAGTGTAAGGGAGGTAATCCAAATACAACGTTTTGATTACTTCCCTTACACTGCTTTTAAATTATGTTTAAAGAAATGCATATTTATAAAGGTAGACCAGTAAAAATATCTGCAAATGTTGCATCTTTTTTTGTACAAATAATCCAAATAAAAGATTTGACACCATATTTTAAATTCTATTATGAAATAGATCAAGTTAGCACTATGGTAAATTTAAATTGAGATTATGACCATATCTTGAGGGAAAGAATTTTTTTGGGGAAAAAGGGGGGGGGATAAAAAGAAATTGTAGGGTTTTTTTTTTTCAAAGGAGTAGGGGCAATAAGGCCCTTATTTGGCCCAAATATAACTGAAAATTTGAAAGTTATCATACATATTCTTAAATTTGTCCAAACTAGACTAAGGTACAAGGTTTTCAGAAAATAGAAACAAATTTCACATTGAACGAGTTACCATGGCAACAAACCATGACAAAATTTGCATATTTTGTAAAATTTCTTGATTTTCCTTGTTTTTCATCAAATTTTAAGTAAATTTTAGATTGGAAAAGCATCTGCGCACCCAAGAAACAACTTTATATTTTGTGAGATTAGGTCAATATTTTTTAACAAAGCTTCTCTTAAATTATTTTGTTGTTTCTAGGCTGCGCACGATGTTTCCACAATGGAAATAACGACTGAAAACTGCATAAATTCTGTATTTTTCATCGTTTTTGTGAAACGATACATATCATGACGTAATTGTGACGTCATCAGATAAAAATCTTTATGTTTTTCATTTATATTTCATGATCCTATGCATTTCCAAACATTAGGTGCCAATTTGAAATAGTTGTCAAACATTTTATTTTCTTGGGCCAAAACCGGGCCTTAATGCCCCCACTCCTTTCAAATACTGAAAAATTTCAAGAAGTAATCTTCAAGTGCACAGTATGGCGCATTAGATTTGTAAAATCTTTGACCACATTTATTTATTTGTTATGCCGAATCTGTGTATTTAGATTTTTAATTTTGGGTCCAGTTTTCAAATTGGTCTACATTAAGGTCCAAAGGGTCCAAAATTAAACTTAGTTTGATTTTAACAAAAATTGAATATATGGGGTTCTTTGATATGCTGAATCTAAACATGTATTTAGATTTTTGATTTTGGGCCCAGTTTTCAAGTTGGTCCAAATTGGGGTCCAAAATTAAGCTTTGTTTGATTTCAACAAAAATTGAATATATGGGGTTCTTTGATGTGCTGAATCTAACCATGTATTTAGATTTTTTATTTGTGGGCCCCGCTATCAAATTGGTTCATATTGAGGTCAAAAGGGTCCAAAATTAAACTTTGTTTGATTTCATCAAAAATTGAATTATTGGGGTTATTTGATATGCCAAATCTAACCATGTATTTAGATTTTTAATTTTGGATCCTGTTTTTATACGCCCGTTTTCGGGACGTATTATGGTATACCGTTGTCTGTCTGTCCGTCGTCAACATTTAGGACATTTACTCAAAAATGCTTTCACCAATTTGCATAAAACTTTGGTGAATTGTTTATATCTATTGACGTGAGCTCCCTTTCGTTTTTTATAAAATTTAGATTTTACGTTTCCAAGTTATGGGGTTTTATTCATTAAAAAGGGGGGGGTTTTCCAGTTTTCGGACAATAAGTCAAGAATGCTTTCACCAACTTGCAAGAAATTGTGGTGAATTGTTTATATCTATTGACATGAGCTCCCTTTTTATTTTTATAAATTTTAGATTTTACGTTTCCGAGTTACAGGGTTTTATTCATAAAAAAGGGTGGATTTGCCAGTTTTCGGACAAAAACTCAAAAATGCTTTCAGCAATTCTTATGAAACTTTGGTGAATTGTTTGTATGTATTGATGTAAGCTCCTTTTAGAATTTTATAAATTTTACATTTTACATTTCTGAGTAATGGAGTTTTATTCATTAAAAAAAGGGGTGATTTTCCAGTTTTCGGACAATAACTCAAAAATGCTGTCACCAATTTTCAGGAAACTTTTGTGAATTGTTTATATCTATTGATGTAAGCTCCCTTTTTATTTTCATAAATTTCTAATATGACATTGAGAATTAATTGAACTTTATTTGTTTATAGTCTGACAACAGATATACTAAGTATTGCACAACAGCAAGAAATCTTTAATTGAATATAAATTCAATTCATATAACCAATTTCAAGTTCTTTGACTACATTTATTTAGAAACCTATAATATGTCAAATATTAAATTACAATCCAAATTCAGACCTGAATCAAGCCTGAATATTGTGTCCAATTTTGCCCCAACTGTTCCATGTTGGACCTCTGCGGACGTATCTAGCTGCGCTCAGCGAAGCAGTTTATTTAAATTAGTCTACATTAAGGTCCAAAGGGTCCAAAATTAAACTTAGTTTGATTTTAACAAAAATTGAATTCTTTGGGATTCTTTGATATGCTGAATCTAAATAGTGTTTAGATTTTTGATTATGGGCCCAGTTTTCAAGTTGGTCCAAGTTGGGGTCCAAAATTAAACTTTGTTTGATTTCAACAAAAATTGAATATATGGGGTTCTTTGATATGCTGAATCTAACCATGTATTTGATTTTTGTGCCCCATTATCAAATTGGTCCACATTGAGGTCAAAAGGGTCCAAAATTAAACTTTGTTTGATTTCATCAAAAATTGAATTCTTTGGATTCTTTGATATGTTGAATCTAACCATGTATTTAGATTTTGGATATTGGACCATAATAGGTAAATTAAAAATTTTTAAGTTCTAAGACCACATTCATTCTGTGTCAGAAACCTATGCTGTGTCAAATATTTAATCACAATCCAAATTCAGAGCTGTATCAAGCTTGAATGTTGTGTCCATACTTGCCCCAACTGTTCAGGGTTCGACCTCTGTAGTCGTATCAAGCTGCGCCCAGCGGAGCATTTTATTAAAAGCATATAATTTAGAAATGGACACTTGGGAATTACTTGGAAGATTGGGCAGTACAGTTACTTCATTCTATGCTCTGATTATTATTTATTACAACGAATTAAAATATATTGTAATTAAGCATGATAGAAGTCTGAGCAAAGGCTTTGAAGTGATGTAGAGAAGCTGTAATAACACCCTTTAGTTATAACAGGTATATTTTTTCTTTAATAACACATGGTTGGCAAACTATATCTTTTAAAGTTTAGTATGCATACATGTATCATGTGTATAGACAATAATAGTATCAATAGAAATTGTATATTTTAACAAAACAAAGGATGTATACTGCCCCTTTGAAACATGTAACATGCATACATGTATGTTATTCCAGTTTTGGGATTTTTTAGTCAACAATAACAAATGTATGTTATTTTTCTCTAATAACTTATTTACATGTAAGTAATACCCTTGACTGGACACATTATCATGATTATTCGGACTCCGAGCTGACCAGTCTTTGCTCTTACTCCTTAATCATGTTAATGCAGTGTGCTCAGTGGAGAAGCAGCAAATGCAGCTACTGACTTGGGACAGGCTCATACACAATGTGTTTGGGGTTATATATTTTTTGTTAGCACCAAACCTTCTCCCTGACCTGGGACAGTGACCAGTGTAACAGTACAACAAAAGAACATGCATGCATTAAATTGTGATCACAGATTACAATTTATCACAATTTTTTTTCATGACATGTACATTTGTATGAGGCAGGTGCTACATGATAGCTTCCAAAGGCTATTGGTGCATGTTCATTTTATCATTATACTTTTTGGTAATCAGTCAGGGGAATATTTTAAACAAGTGATTACTTTATCACTTGTTTAAGTAGCATTTCAAAACTGTTAAAAAGAAATAATCAGAATTGGATTTATTTTAAAAAAAAACCTAGCTATGTTTATGTTTTTTCAGCATTTTTGGTATTTTATACATTTAAATGTTCTACTCATTTCAGTGATTTCAGACATGAAATAAAGATAGATAACTCTTATTTGTAATAGTTCTGGTTACAACCCTACTTTAACAAGTGATTAAAATCATCTGAAAATCACTTTAAATATTTAAGTAGTCCCCTGACTGGTAATCAGCTACATCATGTAGATGTTACTGTATATACAGTAGTTGTATATTTTACAGAAATTTATTATTGAGAGAGATTACCATTGAAAAAAATGTCCACCATGATGGCAGCAGGCCTTACTCGTATACCACTCACAGCTTTTGTGTCTGGCTTTGCCAAGCCGTCCATACTAAGACCTACGCAGAATACCATGGCACGATTCCAGATGTATGCTAATGAAACCAGAACTGCCACACGAAGGGCTGCCAAGAGAAGGTCATTGAAAGATATGGCTATGGCCCCCGCAGGACCTGGAGGTATTAAAATAACCATTTCTGTTGGTTTTATTTTAATCTATGAACAAACATGAATTTAAATATTATATATAGATTCTACCACAATTTCAACTCTGCATAAATCATCTTGTACATCATCATGTAAATTTTCTATGTTTTTCCCGCATTTATGAAGAGTAGTATCATCAGCATACAAGTCTGTTTTACAATTTTTAATGCAAAGGGGAAGGTCATTTATAAATAAGACAAATAATAGAGGACCTAGTATAGATCCTTGGGGGACACCAAATTTCAAATCTTTTTTATCAGAATTAACATTGCAAATGTTTACTTGCTGTGTGCTATTACTTAGTTATGACCTGAAAAAACCTACTGCAGACTCGCTGAATCCATAAGTAGCAAGCTTTAAGCAAAGAATGTCATGATCTACAAGATCAAATGCTTTTTTGAAGTCCAACAGTATTGCCAGGTTTAAATTACCATCATTCATTTCTTGCAGCCATTTGTCAATGATATCAATAAGTGCAGTTTGACATATATATATATATACATGCATGTTGAAAATGAGTCACTTTTAAGTATAATTAATAAGTGTTACATAAATTGATTTTGTAAATAACATTTTTTGTCCATTCATCATGTTCTTACAGATCATACAAACACACAAAAAAAATTCTCTAACATCTTCAGTTTTGAGAGCATTATTTCATGTACTTGTATTTTCTAAAATCGTAATAGTTAATCTCATATTTTTGTTCATTGTTCAACAGTCTCAATAAAAAATGCATTCAAATATTTTTGAATTTATAGTATACAATGATATACGAAAGTCTCTTTCTGAAACGTGTCCACAAATGTAGGATATATATATATTGTTAAAATAATTGACACTGAAGAAGGCTATTTGTTAAGCCGATATATTTGTCAACACGATTTATTAACAACATCTTCGTATAATACCATCTTATATTAGTATCGTTGTGCAAATCTCTAGACTTATATATATATATAAAATGACTGAATAATAGCCAACGATAAATCTAACGGGGTGATGGATCATATAAATATGATACAGTACACTACAAAATATAATATATAACCAGTCTAAAAGGGTACAACATCACCAAAAAATGACAATAAACGAACAAATGTACATGATGTAACTATAAATATTTCGGATAACAGATATCCTTCATCAGTATGAGCACGATGTAAAATGAATCAGATAAATTTATTCTGATTATTAAACTATAGCAATCTTGAATTCTATATACAGAGGGGTCTAAATACAGCACAAACAACATTTTCCAAAAGACCAAAAAAGTGAAAAAGTATATTTTAACAAAACGCATTTGACTAGCAGGTCGAACAACTGATGTTCTTAAACCCTGCTGACTGCCATTGGCGATTGCCAAATAAACGAATCACCAGATGTAACAAAATGGATCTTATAATAATTTATTACCAAACAGAAAACAATAAACTTGCAGAAAAATTGGTATACCGCAAACATGAGGTGCAAAAATTTGTACACCATATCCGGATTTCGACAATTAATGTCTCTTCAGTGATGTTAGGAATCGAAACGGTATTTGGAAGGCCATATAATTTACCTCAATTTAGGATAGACTCTTGAATTTTGAAAGAGTCGAAATAGAAGAACGGATCATATAAACCCGAAGGCAAATATAATACAAGCCCAAACGAAAAAATGTTTTTATCCAACACAATCATAGGTTTGAACGTTGTTTTCAATTTAGACTTGTATATATATATAGACATTAATTGTCGAAATCCGGATATGGTGTACAAAAACCTTTGCACCTTTTGTTTGCGGTATATCATCTTTTCCGCAAGTTTATTGTTTTCTGTTTAGTGTTAAATTTACAATTAAGATCCATTTATTACATCGGTGATCCGTTTATTTGGCAATCGTCAATGGCAGTCAGCAGGGTTTAAGAACATTTGTTGTTCGACTTGTTAGTCAAATGCGTTTTGTTAAAATATACTTTTTCACTTTTTTGGTCTTTTGGAAAATGTTGTTTGTGCTGTTTTTAGACCCCTCTAACAAGAAATTTGTTTTGCATGCACACGTATAAAAATTGCGGTTTTTATCCAACGCAATCATAGGTTTGAACGTTGTTTTCAATTTAGACTTGTATATATATATATATATATGATAGAGATAATGAGATAACATTACATATGTATCATAACCAAAATTTTAACATTTATCCTCGTCTCATGGGTTTTCGTGCTATTAAGAATGCATTGTGATATCACAATTTCCATTGAAAATCATGCATACCGGTAATACAAATTCATATGACATATGAAAACATATGAACTGACCATAATATGCCAATATACATTAGTATTAAATAAACATGTTTTTTATTTATTTTTCATTTTCATTTAAGCTTTTAATGTTGGAAAAGGACTCGTAGCTGGTGGTTCTGTTATTGGTCTCGGTGCCTTATGTTACTATGGCCTCGGAATGTCCAGCCAGCTTGGAGCTTTAGATAAAGCAGTGTAAGATCAAATTCTGTAATGTGATTTCTGGTAAATCTACAACTGTTTAATGATGGACAGCAGGTTAAGATAAGATTTGAATTTTTCTAAACAAGTCAAAACTTGGACAAGTTTGCAATTTTTATTGAAACCAAAACACATGACTTTGATTTTATAGGAGAAAGCCAAATTGTTTTCAGATTCTTCTCAAATAATTTCAAAGTTTCAACTTACTGTAATGTTCTTGCATTCATGAAATTTGTAGAAATGATACTATCATTTCATTCATTTATAAAGAAAAATCTTAGCTTATAAACAAATTAAAGGTCTTGTGAAATTTGTTCCAATTTGTTAAGTTACCATGGCTATCAATGTTTTTATTAGAATCAGGGGTTGCATCAAGAATACAAGTGATAGTATGATGAAATTTGAGGATGTTTCTGTATAACATTCTTATTTGATTATATCATCTAGTTTAGGGGTAAATTGTGTAAGGGGAACTAAATGTTTGAATCAAATGAATATTTGGCTAATTTTTGTTTGACAAATCGTGAAATTTGGTTAAGAGAAGCTAATAATTTTGTTGAACATATCTTTTATTTTGAGAATCTTTTGCAGGTTGTGGCCCCAGGAAGTAAGACAGAGGATCAGAGATACATACATGTATTTTGGTGGCAGTGTTGCTATCACAGCAGCATCTGCAATAGCTGTCAGTAGAAACCCAAGACTCATGGGACTGATGATGAAAAATTCATGGATGGTATGCTGAAATTAAGAAATTAAAAAGTCAACCTTTTTAGAATGAATTAGACTTTCTTTCATTTTTCATGTCATTCAAAATCAACAAAAAACATGTGAATACAATTTTGTGTGGGATTAATAATGAAAATATCCATTAGCTTTTAATGAAACATCAGAGACAGGTTTAGGGGGTCTTTATGGAGTCTCTCTCCTTATGTTGACTTTGTGGGCACCCCCTTTTTTTTAAAACCCTGGATCTGTACTGAAAAAAAAACATATTCACTTATTTAATTAAAAGAGGATCAGTGAAAAGATGAAAAAAAATCTTAAACAGAAATAAAGATTGAGTTATTTCCCTTTTGCTGTTTATGTAAAACAATATTTTTTTTTTCTTTAATATAACGTTACAAAACAGGAAATTTCAAAGTATTTTTATCTTATTTTTAGAACAAGAAAAAATTATACTTGACTAATTGTTAGACTAGAACTACTATGACATTTTTTTTATTATAGGCAATTGGTGTAACCTTTGCTACAGTAATTGGTGCAGGAATGGTTTGTCGGTCAATTCCATACCAGGAAGGCTTTGGTTCCAAGCAGTTGGCCTGGATGGCTTACAGTGGTATTTTCGGAGCTGTTTTGGCTCCTATGACCCTAATGGGTGGTCCTTTGTTAATCCGAGCAGCTTGGTACACAGCAGGAGTAGTAGGGGGTAAGGTTTTATATGAGAAGGTATTAAATTGTTTTGTGAACATCTTGAGGATGTTTTTTTATAGATTTAAAATACTTTTTAATTATTACATTCAAGGGTTCAAAAATGTAACCTTCTAGGCAACATGCATTTCACCATTACAAAAAATCACAATCTAAATCAGCAATTACTTGTGCTTTAGGTTTTATATACGGTATAATACATACATATTTTACATGTTTATGAAGATAAAAGTATTTGAAATTCAGCACTAGACTTAACTAGGACCCAGGTCCTAAAACAATCTCACCACAGTTTTCATCCCACTGCAAGAGTAGACGGAGGGCTTATTAAGTTACTCCTGTTAGTCTGTCCATCCTCATAAAGAGTAAATGGTTTATCTATTAAAAACATACTAAAAATGTTCATCAAAAATGTCCATACAATTACCACATGTGGGGTTATTAGGTGTATCTAACTGATATAAAATAATATAAAAACAAGGAGATATGGTATGATTGCCAATGAGTCAACTATCAATAAGAGACCAAATAACATAGAAGTTAACTATAGGTCACCATACCACCTTCAACAATTAGCAAAACCCATACCAAATTTGTTTTGAATTGAAACCAAAGGAAATCGTTACTATAATTTTCAATGTCCTTTTCATGCCTGTTTTATAGTAAAATAATGTTGTTTAAAATTCATATTTAATACTTTACATGTTTGCATTCAAACAGGTCTTTCTACAGTTGCCATGTGTGCTCCAAGTGAGAAGTTCCTAAATATGGGAGGACCTCTTGCTATTGGTCTCGGATTTGTATTTGCATCGTCAATTGGTAAGTGGGATAATTTTAATAAAGAGTATTTACTAGTAATGCAGTCAGTTAAATGCAGTGAAAAAAAAAAACATTAGAAATAAAATGAAACAACTTTTCTAAAGTTATGAGTCTCAGATTAAACATAATATATATTTCAGAGAACAGGTTTATTGTTCATAATCAAAATGAAATTTTTTTCTCTTTTATTTTGTAAAATTTTAATGAAATCATGTGAGACCACCATGCAAAGCCTTACTTTTAACTTGCGTGTTCACAATGAAAAAAGTCTGTGTGAAGACATGTCACCCTATTTGGATACCTAATTCTGACTCTCAGTCCACCAGTCTCTGTTCTTACTCCTAAATGCCACATGCTTTAGTTTGATAAGCTTGTGCAATCCCTACTCTTCCCCCAATTACATATACTTAATCAGTTCTTTTATGGTATTGTGTCATACTGTGGATTCATTTATTTTCGTGGGTATCAATTTTCGTGGATAGAGAAAAAAAGACGTTTCGTGGTATACGTAAATTCGTGGATCTTTGATTACAAAAAAAAAAATTCAGATACGTAATTCGCGGATTTCTTTTGATTTAGGAGATTATATAACCTCCTTGGTTTAATCAATAATAAAACAAACAAATAAAGAAGGAATTCATTGAAAAAGTTTGAATTGTCAAAATCCTCGCTAGGTCGTTCTAGGTTAAAGTGTTCATTGAAAACTTCTATTACAATAATGGACAGAGACAACTAATTATTTGTTTGTTTTACAATTTATAAATTCTTGTCGGAATTTTATAAGGCATTCAAAACTCTATGATTGAAAGCTCAGTTCCCTAATCACGATGTAATAAACAGTCATATTAAGTAAAAGGTGTGAAAATAAATGTTCCTGTCATAAACAATATTACCTACGGGCAATATCCCCGTACTTAATCCTATTGATTTTTGATCACCAGTAAACCAAACTATGACACGGTAATTAACAACTTGCAGTTATTTTCCATGAACAATTTTAATCAATTTTAAAAAGTAAATTATCACTGATATTTGATATATTAATTATTGATTTAATCAAAATACCAGTATCTTCTTTCAATAAAAACACGTGTTATGTTACAATGTTTATCGCTAGTCAACACTATACTAGAACTGCATAACATAACCTGAAATAAACATCCGACTCCATAAACATTTCTCGGGATTATTCTTCGTTGAATTCTTAAATTCGTGGTTCGCTGTGACCCACGAAACCCACGAAAATTGGTATACCACGAATAAAAATGAATCCACAGTATGTTTCTATAGAAAGTCAGTTATGTAACATGTTTTTCTAGGGAATTTTTTAATAAGGAAATTGGTTAATATTATCAGCACAAAAATGTAATAAACTGTAGTGGTAGATCATGTGCATGTCAATATCATGGATGAATAACTGAATCTTTTAGTAGAATTGCCATGGCATATAGTGGCAGATTGTCCCATGCCATTACAAAACATCATGGTGGTTTATTTGCAACTTTCAGCAAATAAATTATCAAATCCTAATTCCTCCTTTTTGCTTCTGGATTATAGGTACTACTACAGATCTGGATTGACCTTTTTTGGGTTAAGATCGCATGAACCCTACAGTACTGACTTGATATCTATATCTTCCAACGTTGATCACTACTTTGATAGTTCAAACAAAATAGTGCAGTGAAGTGATCATTATTTAGATCCTATCCAGTCGATGTCATGCAATTTATTAATGATATGTTATACTTTGATATTTAAGTTACAATATAATGTGTATTTGAATTTCCATACTTTTCAAGAAAAAAATTACATTAATAAGGCATGGTGTCTGAATCTGTTAAAAAAATATGTTCAACCACAAATGTACAATCATGAACAAAGGAAGATAACTCCAACTCAAATTTTTAACTTGTCTAGCAAAATGCAATTCAAGTTTTATTTAGAAATTGCAAAATGAAAGCAATCTATACCATTCAGTGATAACAAGCACTTTGATTAAAATAAAATTATGGGTTTGCTTTCAAGAAATGCATTTTTGTCTCCAACCATAGCATTAGTAGTAAGTCTCAACACCATAAATCTTTTGTTTATAATATTTGCAGAAAGTTTGCTTAAGGGTTTGCTTTAGAAATATTTAGTAATAAGTCTAAAAACTTTAAGTCTTCTGTCTATTTGCAGGGAGTATGTTTTTACCACCCACCACAGCTTTAGGAGCAGGTTTATACTCAATAAGTGTTTATGGTGGATTGGTCCTGTTTGGAATGTTCTTATTATATGACACACAGAAAATCATCAAGAAAGCAGAAAGTCACCCACCTTATGCTATGCAAAAGTTTGATCCAATCAATGCGTAAGTTTTTATATATTGGGTGATTTTTTTGTCGAGCCTGTGACTTCTGTCTCAGAAAGCTTGACATAGGGAAAGTGATCCGGCGTCTATGGCGTTAACAAACTTTTTAAAGCTTTATATTTTATAAGGTTGAAGATCTGGATGCTTCATACTTTGTATATATATGCCTTATGTTATGAAGTTTCCATCTGTCATATGTCCATTGTCCTTGACCTCATTTTCATGGTTCAGTGACTTCTTGAAAAAAAGTTAAGATTTTTTGTAACGTGTCTCTTGTTATGAATAATAGGATAACTATATTTAGTATGTGCTTACCTTGCAAAATCCTCATGCTTCAGACAGTTTTAGTTTGCCTCTACCAAATGTTATGAAACTTATACACAATGCTTATTACCAGAAAACACAAATCAAGTTTGAATTTTGGTGTTGTCACTTTTACCATTCTAGAGTTATGTCCCTTCAAAAATTGAAAAATTGCTGAATTTTTCGTTTCTGTTCTCTAACTTTAGTTTGCATCAACCAAATGTTATGAATCTTATACACAATGCTTATAACCACATACACAGATCAAGTTTGAGTTTTGGTGGCGTCACTTTTACCGTTCTAGAGTTATGCCCCTTAACAAATGGAAAAATTGCTGAATTTCCGTTCTCTAACTTTAGTTTGCCTTAACCAAATGTATGAAACTTATACACTTTGCTTATTACCATAAAACACAGATCAAGTTTGAATTTTGGTGGTGTCACTTTTACCGTTCTAGAGTTATGCTTCTTTTCAAATGGAAAAATTGCTGAATTTTTCGTTTCCGTTCTCTAACTTAAGTTTGCCTCAACCAAATGTTATGAAACTTTTACACAATGCTTATTTCCACACAACTCAGATCAAGTATGGTTGATTGGTCAATGTTAGGTTTTCATGGTTTAGTTTGTTTTTCATATACTATAGGCAGTAGGTCAACTATATTTGGTGAATGGAATGATTGTAAGGTGTATATGTCTGTCTGGCAGGTATATCTGACCTGGACCTCTTCATTGTTCATGGTGCAATGTTAAGTTTTCATGGTTAAGTTTGTTTCTTAGTTACTATAAGCAATAGGTCAACTATATTTAATGAATAGATTGTAAGGTGTACACGTCTGTCTGGCATGGTTCGTCTGGCATGGTTCGTCTGACCTTCACCTCATTTTCATGGTTGATTGGTCAGTGTTAAGTTTTCTGGTTAAGTTTGTTTCTTAGAAACTATAAGCAATAGGTCAACTAAATTTGGTGTTTGGAATGATTGTAAGGTGTACATGTATTTCCGGTTTGGTTTATCTGACCTTAAACTCATTTTCGTGGGATCATGTTAAGTTTATGTGATGCTTGTAGTAAAGCTTTATATTTAGGACTAACAACAAAAAAATTAATGGTCAGCAAAGGAGGCGAGACAATACAGGGTATAAAATCTTGTTTGTTTTAGCAACTATACACATGATACATGTAGTTTGGTATTGACAGTGTGTCCACCTGCCTTAAACAGAAGGGTGGCCAGCCCTTTGTGCCCTTACCCCTCCCTTTTACTGTACAGGGCAAAAAAACACTCTAGTGCATTTTCAAAAATAAACTTTTCAAATTACATGTCTTTCAGCCGTAATGGTAAAATTGGTACCTGATTGTGTCATTACTCCTATTAACTGACATTGACCTAAAAGTACAAATATGATTATCCATCTGCCTTTTCACTAATGCACTTTTTGAATTACATGTCTTTCTTCCTTTCCAGTTAATATTTTACCTCATTGTGTAATTAAGGGACATAAACATAAAGGTACAAATATAATTAGCCTTTATAAGTTTTATCACCTCTGTTAATAATTGGCTTCTACTAATCAGGTGATTATTGCATTCAACTTTTCTGTCTTGTTTGTCCACAAATATTTTTGTCACACTTTTCTCAGGAACAATTAAACAGAACAACTTCATATTTGGTCAGCAGCTTGACCACAATGAGTTGTACCATATGTGCACTTTTCAGATCTTTCAGACGCCTACTTCCTGTAAAAGGTACAAATATAATTAGCCTTTGGAAGTTTTATCACTTCTGCTAATTAGGTGATTAAAGATAATTGAACAATACTAGGTATTTGATACATAACGAAAATATCCATGTGTGACCCTTTCACAATGTTTAGGTACATGTAGGTTGTACATCTGCCGTACTTTATAAGTAGACATATTTTTGTCACGTTTTTCTATGGAACTATTGAACAGAATGACTTCATATTTGATCAGCAGCTTTGCAGTGATTAGTTGTAATTATAATGTGTGAGCACTTTTCAGATGTCATACACCTACTTCCTGTGTGCTGATACTTTTCAATATGTTGAATGAACTTCAAATTTTTTGTTACAAACAAAGGACCCAATCTCAGATGAGCTATGAAATTCTGTTTATCTCTTGCATGTTAACGCTAGTTCAGCAGTTGATACAAATACATTAAAATAATGACATTATTTATTTTATTGATGTTATATTAATATTTTTGTAAACGACTAACAATATGCAGTTTATCTACCTGAAGAATCCCTGAACTTCTGGTACTAATGAAACAGGGACCTTCACTGAGATAGCTGTGTCAGTGGAGTAATTGTTAACAGCGTGGGGGACCTTCACTGAGATAGCTGTGTCAGTGGAGTAATTGTTAACAGCGTGGGGGACCTTCACTGAGATATCTGTGTCAGTGGAGTAATTGTTAACAGGGACCTTCACTGAGATAGCTGTATCAGTGGAGTAATTGTTAACAGCGTGGGGGACCTTCACTGAGATAGCTGTGTCAGTGGAGTAATTGTTAACAGGGACCTTCACTGAGATAGCTGTATCAGTGGAGTAATTGTTAACAGCGTGGGGGACCTTCACTGAGATATCTGTGTCAGTGGAGTAATTGTTAACAGGGACCTTCACTGAGATAGCTGTATCAGTGGAGTAATTGTTAACAGCGTGGGGGACCTTCACTGAGATAGCTGTGTCAGTGGAGTAATTGTTAACAGGGACCTTCACTGAGATAGCTGTATCAGTGGAGTAATTGTTAACAGCGTGGGGGACCTTCACTGAGATAGCTGTATCAGTGGAGTAATTGTTAACAGCGTGGGGGACCTTCACTGAGATATCTGTGTCAGTGGAGTAATTGTTAACAGGACCTTCACTGAGATAGCTGTGTCAGTGGAGTAATTGTTAACAGGACCTTCACTGAGATAGCTGTGTCAGTGGAGTAATTGTTAACAGGACCTTCACTGAGATAGCTGTGTCAGTGGAGTAATTGTTAACAGCATGTGCAATACTGTTGTTGAATAAAAAAAAAAGAATCTGAAAAATCTGAATTTGGGAACCTTTTTATTGGGTTGGAGGACTAGAAAAAAATATTCCATATTAACTCTTGTCTCTGGGATAGTGCTTTTGTTTCTTATCAGATCCTCTTCAAATTTGTATTAAGGCTTCTACTCATCAAATCTTTGGTTGAGTTTGATCCTCAGAATAATCTGGAGCAGGAGGGGGGGAGGGGATTTTTTTATGGGTTTAGGGCTTGCTAAAATATCCCATATTAATAAATTATGTTGTTATGTGAACTTGCTCACTATTAAAATGTATTTTCATTTTCCTTTAGTATTTCAGATAATGTAACATTTTATTCTGTTATTTCAGATAATGTAACATTTTACTTTGTTATTTCAGATGTATTGGGATATACTTGGACACAATCAACATATTCATTCGTATAGCTATGATTCTGTCTGGGGGAGGTGGAAAGAGAAAGTAAACATTATATTACAGTTTGATTTGAACACACAATACATTCAGTTTAAGTTGATCTAGAAAGTGAAATTATCATCTGTGATTATTGACAATGTACATACTTGTACCTGTATTAATTGGTGTTTTCATTGTTTTATGCATTTTAACTTTTAACAGCATTATTACAACATGCTATTAACATATCACTTATTTGTATGTATTAAGCTAAAATAAAAATAAAACTTTTTGTTTCTGAATACCCAACAGAGCTTTTTGTTTTTCATAGCTGATTAAAAAAGTAAAACATAATAATGCTTGTCAGTTTTCAACCTCACAACATTGGATCTGATTAAGACTTTACAGATTCTTATGTAAAGTATCCAAATTCTAATATTACATCCTATTATCGTCAACCAGTATAATCACAACATATCTACCTTTAGCGCAAACGCAGTAATACACAAAAACGGCTGTTCCGCGTTACGACCAACTTATTTATACTACCAGATATTCTCAATTTTCTACATCAAAACCCCAAGTTTACGTAGGCCAAGATTCAGATACAATATATTTATCTCTTTTCTAAAGCAAAATAAACAAATCAGTCCATTTCAATTTATTTTTCATGGTAAAATTTCATAAAACGAAAATTCCGCGAAATGATGTTATTGTCTTGGCATGGCAACGAAACAAGGTGACGTCACAAGTATGTTTTCGTAAACAAAAAATCAAATGTAAATACCGGGCGTTTTAAAGCTTCTTGTACGCCTTAGAACGAATAAAATTACATTGGAAGAAAATATATAAGTGAAAAATGCGATTAAAAAAAAATAATCATTGAATTATATGATATTACTAATATTATCAAAATTGGGTAAAACGGAACAGCCAAAACAATGTCGTATGACTTTCACGGTTAACAAAATTACCGAATTTGTCCTATTAGAATTGAAATAACTAACGCTCAGGGTAAAATAATTGAATATAAATGCCCAAACCATGGTTAAATGAAAACAAATCTACGGCTGCCATGAATTATTTCTTAGTTTTTGTTTTGAAATTAAATGATGAGATATTTTGTAAGGTGCAATATTATGCATCATGAATGATGATAGGGATAAAAAGTTTCTTCAAAAACTAATCATCAGCTTCAAATGAAATATGTTTTAAAAGATGAAATTCAAACAACTTTTCTCAAATTTCCATTAAATTCAGTAATTTCTTACATAAGATGATTTGAGAAATATGTAAAAGATATTCGATCAACAGACCCTACCATGCCTACCTATTTTCAGGTTGATATTTTAGGGAATACTCAACATACATGTACATTGTCCTTTCATAATTTGAGAATTACTAACACATAAAACAGTGCTTTATAGACTCGATGTATTATTAAATGTTTTTGTTTGTAACAGTTTTGTTTATTGTTTTGTCTGAATGTTTTGTTTTATCAGTTTATAATTAATAACTTTTTTTTTATTTTTTCGTAATTAGAATATACTTGTTGTACTGGTTGTACAAATTTTTTTTTTGCTATAATACACTAGCTTTTCATAACATACTGAAAAAAATGTTGTGATTATTTAAAAGTGCCTTATGAGTCTTTATTAGCCTCTTTTCTGTTTAATATCTTGGCAGAAGAACAAAATGACCATGATAATGATTAACTGTAGACAAATGTTGGGTGGCATCAGTTCATGAGATCATGGGCTCAATCCCTCAGCCAGATCAAACCAAAGGATGTTGATCTAGTGCAAAGCAGCGTTCATATTCATATCGCATTAGCATGTTCTTATAAAAATAAGAAGATTGCCGATGAGACAACTCTCAACAGGAGACCAAATGACGTAGAAGATTAGCTACTATAGGTAATCGTAAAGCCTTCAGCAATGAGCAAAACCCATAGTACATAGCAAGCTATAAAAGTTTGAATATGCCACTGGATGTTACACAGCCATCGATCATTATTCAGTTGCAAATATTTCTGCAGTATATCAGGATTAGGACAAATTAATATAATACAAATATAAAACCTGCTTCATACAACCCAAACACAGATGGATTTTCAACATGCTATTACACAAGGTTACAGTCTGCATAAAGACATGGTGGCATCCTACCTGAATACATTCTTCTGACTCTCAGCCAACCAGTATTTACTCCTTCTATTAAATGTCATATTCTTAGCTGAGAAGCAGGAAATATTAATTTTCAAGTCAACAACCTCCTGCACTCATAGGTAACAAGCAACCACAAGACCACCAAGCTTAACAAGATCAGGATTAGGACAAATTAATATAATACAAATATAAAACCTGCTTCATACAACCCAAACACAGATGGATTTTCAACATGCTATTACACAAGGTTACAGTCTGCATAAAGACATGGTGGCATCCTACCTGAATACATTCTTCTGACTCTCAGCCAACCAGTATTTACTCCTTCTATTAAATGTCATATTCTTAGCTGAGAAGCAGGAAATATTAATTTTCAAGTCAACAACCTCCTGCACTCATAGGTAACAAGCAACCACAAGACCACCAAGCTTAACAAGATAACCACTAGCATGTCTTTAATATAAACTGGCAGAACAGATTCTGCGTACCCCTGTTATCCATCTCGACCAATTTGCATATGTAATCAAATTGAATGATGGTTATAGTTATCAGAGATTTCTGGTGGTATACAACTATTTAGAACATAGACTGAATTACATATTATATGTTTTTTGAAACATTTGACCGCTTTCTCATGGAATCATTTGGTTAGCTCACTGGATCCAAACGTCCTTAATTAGTTTGTTATCGTTTTACATTTTTGTTAACTTCTATGAAACTACAATGTCAATTTGAACCAAACTTAACGGCCTAATTTATAACAAAATAATTTATGAAAAACAAACATGACAGACATGAACCAAAGACAACCCTGAACTACAGGCTCCTGACATATAGAATGTGGCGGGGTTAATATAGTTTTCTGGCACCAAACTCTCACCCTAAATCTGGGACAGTGGTGTAACAGTATATTTTTGGACATTTCAATCTGAACTTAAATTTAAAGAATAACTTTTTATACGACCGCAAAAAAAATTTTGTGGTCGTATATTGGTATGACGTTGGCGTCGTCGTCGTCGTCCGGTGTCGTCGTCGTCGTCGTCCGGCGTCGTCGTCCGAAGACACATTGGTTTTCGCACTCTAACTTTAGTTTAAGTAAATGGATCTTTTTGAAATTTGACCATAAGGTTAAATACCACAAAAGGAAGGTAGGGATTGATTTTGGGGGTTATGGTACCAACAGTTAAGGAATAAGGGGCCAAAAAGGGGCCAAAAATAAGCATTTTCTAGTTTCCAGACAATAACTGTGGAACGGTGTATGGATCTCTCTGAAATTATACTACAAGTTTCCATACCACAAAGGGATGGTTAGGATTTGCTTTGGGGGTTATGGCTCAAACCGTTTAGGAATTAGGGGCAAAAAAGGGGGAAAAACAAGGTTGTCCTGGTTAATGGACAAATACTTTAGTACAAAACATAATTTAAAGCAGTGTAAGGGAGATAAATCAAATACATCATTGAAATTATCTCCCTTACACTGCTTTTAAATTATGTATAAAGTAATGGTTAATGAACAATAAAGATAATTTAAAACAGTGTAAGGGAGGTAATCCAAATACAACGTTTTGGTTACTTCCCTTACACTGCTTTTAAATTATGTTTAAAGAAATGCATATTTATAAAGGAAGACCAGTAAAAATATCTGCAAATGTTGCATCTTTTTTTTTTACAAAAAAATCCATATGAAAGATTTGAAACTATATTTTTAATTCTATTAATAAATGAATTAAGTTAGCACTATGGTAAATTTAAATGGGTAATTATGGTTGCCAACTCCATTGGAAATTTGAATTGAGATTATGACCATATCTTGAGGGAAAGAATTTTTTGGGGGAAAAAATGGGGGGGATAAAAAGAAATTGTGGGGGGTCAATTTTTCTCATTTCAGATTTCAGAAATTAAAAAAATTATTCCTCAAATATTATTTTTTTTTCAAATTTCAAATATTGAAAAATTTCAAGAAGAAATCTTTAATTGCACAGTATGGCGCATTAGATTTGTAAAATCTTTGATCACATTTATTTTTGGCTCAGTTTTCAAGTTGGTCCAAATTGGGGTCCAAAATTAAACTTTGTTTGATTTCAACAAAAATTGAATATATTGGGTTCCTTGATATGCTGAATCTAACCATGTATTTAGATTTTTTATTTGTGGACCCCGTTATCAAATTGGTTCATATTGAGGTCAAAAGGGTCCAAAATTAAACTTTGTTTGATTTCATCTAAAATTGAATTATTGGGGTTCTTTGATATTCCAAAATCTAACCGTGTATTTAGATTTTTAATTTTGGGTCCTGTTTTTTAAATTGGTCTACATTAAGGTCCAAAGGGTCCAAAATTAAACTAAGTTTGATTTTAACAAAAATTGAATTCTTGGGGTTCTTTGATATGCTGAATCTAAACATGTGTTTAGATTTTTGATTATGGGCCCAGTTTTCAAGTTGGTCCAAGTTGGGGTCCAAAATTAAACTTTGTTTGATTTTAACAAAAATTGAATATATGGGGTTCTTTGATATGCTGAATCTAAACATGTATTTAGATTTTTGATTATGGGCCCAGTTTTCAAGTTGGTCCAAATTGGGGTCCAAAATTAAACTTTATTTGATTTCAACAAAAATTGAATATATGATGTTCTTTGATATGCTGAATCTAACCATGTATTTAGATTTTTTATGTGTAGGGCCCGCTATCAAATTGGTTCATATTGAGGTCAAAAGGGTCCAAAATTAAACTTTGTTTGATTTCATCAAAAATTGAATTATTGGGGTTCTTTGATATGCCAAATCTAACCGTGTTTTTAGATTTTTAATTTGGGTCCCGTTTTTTAAATTGGTCTTCATTGAGGTCCAAAGGGTCCAAAATTAAACTTAGTTTGATTTTAACAAAAATTGAATTCTTGGGGTTCTTTGATATGCTGAATCTAAACATGTGTTTAGATTATTGATTATGGGCCCAGTTTTCAAGTTTGTCCAAGTTGGGGTCCAAAATTAAACTTTTTTTGATTTTAACAAAAATTGAATATATGGGGTTCTTTGATATGCTGAATCTAACCATGTATTTTGATTTTGGACATTGGACCATAATAGGTAAATTAAAAAAATTCAAGTTCTTAGACCACATTCTTTCTGTGTCAGAAACCTATGCTGTGTCAAATATTTAATAACAATCCAAATTCAGAGCTGTATCAAGCTTGAATGTTGTGTCCATACTTGCCCCAACTGTTCAGGGTTCGACCTCTGCGGTCGTATCAAGCTGCGCCCCAGCGAAGCATTTTATTTATGTATGTATTAGGAGTTTGTTTCTATATTGTTATATTTTTTAACATTAAACCAATAAAAATGGAATTAAACATGTTTATAGATGGCTGAAAACTGCAATTTTGAAACATTTTAGCATATTTTGTATGTATCCCAAAACTCAATACATATAAATGAATGCTTAACCAAAGTCAATATTCTTATCATAAATGTAAAGCTATATGTATAAATGTTCGGTTACAAATAAAAACAAAATCTGTAATGAATGTCCCTTGAATCAAAGCAAAAAAACATGTTAAGCCCTAACAGTAATCAATAATTGCATGGGGCCTCGGTGGCTGAGTGGTCTAAGTAGTTGAACTACTGTATTATAATAGCCTTTCACCACAAGTTGAGGGTTTGAATCCCACATGTGGGAGGTTCCAAACTTAATTGACTAGGATTTTCAGTCTCCTGCTGGTTCTCTGCAGGGGCACTCCAGCTTCCCCAGCCAATAAAAACTATAGCCAATAGTTCTGACAGTGGTATTATTCACCAATAATCAGTTAATCAAAAATTATACCAGAGACATCAAAGATCTGAGATCAACAGTTTCTGAATAGACTAAAGGGAAACAAGATATCTCAGATTACTGATGGCATTCCTCTTTGGAAATGCAACAAACTGTTGGCATGAAAATAATTTATTAATCCATATACCAATAAGTAAAAGTAACTTTTTATGCCCCACCTTCGATAGTAGAGGGGCATTATGTTTTTCTGTCTGTGCGTCCGTACGATCGTCCTTTCGTCCGTCTGTCCCGCTTCATGTTTAAATTTTTGGTCAAGGTAGTTTTTGATGAAGTTGAAGTCCAATAAACTACAATGTATGTTGGGAACCTCTTCAGTGATGGATTGTTCTATCTTACGTTTTTCACCTTTTAGGGAATTTGGTATACTGGTTGACGGATTGTCTCTTAAATATATCCACAACTTTTTGACTAGCCTAAAGGGACGATTTAATGTAACAGCTTGACATATTGTATAGACACTTGAAATATTGTATAGACACTTGACATATTGTAAAGAAACTTGACATATTGTTTAGACACTCGACATATTGTATAGACACTCGACATATTGTATAGACACTCGACATTTTGTATAGACACTTGACATATTGTATAGACACTCGACATAGTGTATAGACACTTGACATATTGTATAGATACTTG